GAAGGAAATTGAATTGGAAAGTAACTTCGGAAAAAAACTACACTAGGAGTTTTAGTGTTTATCCACAATCATGTAACCTCAGGAGCAAACACTGCTATTTCAGTCATCCATCATCTGAAGGGAAACAGAGGGGAACTTAATTTAGAAGCCAAAAGCTTCGGGGAGCTTGGATAAAATAGAAAGGTTTAGATTCTCTTTTTTCTTTTTACTAGTTTACCCAAATTTTCAAGCAAAGTAAGCAATACTAATTCTAAGCAGTTCACTTGAGCTAGTGGCACTTCAGATGAATTCAGCTGACTTTGAAGAATCTGGTCCAGTATCCAGCCTCATTTGTCCTTTTAGCTCCACAAGGGCTACTGCTTTTTCATTTACCAAAGGCCAAGAAATCCAGAGAAGCTTTTTCTGAAAACATAATTAACTTTTCATTGTTCCGTGCAGACCTATTAGACAGTGGCACCTTGTGATCAAAACAAAGTATTACAGCTTTAAAATATAACATTTCCCAAAATGGAAATTTGCAACCAAGTGAACAAATTCAAAACAATATTGAGTATCAGTACCCCCACATTACGACTGATTTAATTTTTTTTCTGGTTAATTGTTTTCTCATGGCCAACAACTGCACTTCTTGTAGCCCAAATAAGACCTTCTTAAGTTATATTGTGACAATTTAGACAACACATTTAACACACATGGTGTTACTTTCCCACTGATCTAATCACTACTGACTAGATATGCAATGATGTTCATTCTATTTTATAAAAAGAAACCAGCTATCTTCTGTAGTATCATTGTTCACATTAACCAGACCCTTACTGTCTCCACTTAACTCCTTTCAACCTTATACAGACTTTTTGCTAATGAACCTAAAATATGATATGCATCAAGTGTGAAATTTTAAAAATTGTTCAATCTAGTAAAAAGCCTTATTTGCTTAATATTTTCAAATTTCAAATAACAGAATGGAGAAATGCTATAAAAATCAAAGCATTAGTAATGCCACCTTCGCATCAACAATGCTTTGACTTGTTTGAGAGCCACTACTGAGCAGTAGTGAGGACAACAGGATCTGTGAGCAGAACATCTTTTAGTTGTCTGACTAACTGAGCTTACAAACTTAACTCATGAGCCAACCAATGCTTTGTCTGCAAGTCGGTAGCACAAATATTCAACCCAGTAGCAAAGTCAGATGCCCAAAGAGTCCCACTCATTCTGCAACTACCACTATTTTGGTCTTGGATTTCTGTTATGCTCCTCATTCTTGTGCTATGCTCCTCAGTACATACTTGACTGTGTAGGCAAAGGCTGCAAAACCAACTATAACAAACAAGTTCGCCAAAGCTCCTCCTAAGAGTCCATGGTTCCGATTGGCTTGTTGGAGACCCGGATGATTAGCAGGCGCCAGCTGAACGTGCCCATTAAGGAGGGGGATTCCGTTTTGCCCGTAGTGTGCTTCCCCATCCGGCACAACATCTGGCAAAGGGAGGGATGGAGGTCTGCTACTGAGGTCGTCTTGTGCTTTCTGTTTCTGTTTGATTTCCTACAGAGAGGAAAAAAAAAAAAAGGAGGGGAAAAACCGCAGGAATATCTGGAGGTGAATACCGTGAAGTTCTTTTGGGTGTAAAACCTTCTCCCAGAAGGCTTTCCCAAAAGGGGAAAAGGGACAGAAAGTACATTATGAATAACAGTGCAAAGGATAATATATAAATCAAGCACCCAAGACTCCACCCAAAAAGGCCTCTTCTGTTCGGACAGAAAGAAAAATATCTCAGGAAAACCCTAACTAGTTAGCTTAGAGATCATTACAGACAAGCTGACAAACTGCCTAAGAGAATCATGCACAGATGAATTCCCTTACCTCCACCACTTCAGGGAAGAGCTCGCAGAAGACTTTATCCTTTAAATTAAATGCTAAACTTTGTGCAGCAAGTTGTCTTTTCTGTGGAGGCAAAAAGAATCATCAGCAGTAGCATATAAATGAAGTTAAGATACTCTGGTTACCTCCCACAAGGATGGTGCAAACTGCTAGCCAACTAATTTCTAATCTTGAGGATAATTTTATATCTGTGAATACCAACACTCCTAAAACCGACTTGTGTTCCCCACTATTCTAAGATTTGGGTTCTGAACTGCTGGGCCTACTCAGCAGACACTTTGAGGGAAGGAAAAGAAGGAGAAGGTTCTAAAAAATATGGTTTACTAAGAATAGTCTGGAGCTTACTGTGAACTCTGAGGTCTCTATGCTGCCCAGTGTGGGACCCTTTTCCACCATAAAACTAAGAAGGCCTGTCAAGATAGTTGAGACTGACCAAGCTGGATTCCATGTATCAGGGTGAAAATCAGTGATTGAAAGACACAACCTTAAAAAAAAAAAAAGACAAGCAATACATTTTAATTGTTGCTATTGAAAGGATTACAGATAACCCGTATTGCTAAAATAGTGTTAATTGCTTAAGTGTTAGAAGAAAATCCTTACCTTGTATTACATTTAAACCTTCCATTAGGAGTAATCATATAAATACTAGGAGGTTTAAAAGGAAATTCTCTGGGGAATATTAGTTTCCCATGATAATAGCCACCTGCATTACATAAAGAGATGAATTACTTATTTTGCAAAAAGATGAATCCTAAGCTATTAATAAATCGGGCCAAATAAAACTTCTTTACCTCTCCCCCTCACACTAAAAGGCTCAAACTCAAAATCTTGTGCCTCTGAAACACAGGAATGATGATCCACACCTGCAGTAGTTTTACTTTGGAGGCACTGCTCTAACATATGCAAATAATATTTCAGGTTATGAAGTTTGTAACATATTTAGGGCAACATTTCCACACACACTAAGTGGAAATGAAGCTCTATGAAGAGTCTGATTTCAAAAAGAATCTTATGGGAACTTGTGGAATATGGGGCTATCGGAACTTAATGTGGCTTTTCCTTTCCTCTCTTTCTACAAATTCATAAAGACGCTATAGGTCACAGTTCAGTGACAGCATTTATAGGTTAAGTTATAAATGTCATACAGAAAACAAACAAGCCAAAAAAAAAAAAAAAAAAAGCACACCTAACAGTAAGGAATAAAACCCAATGACTTGGGTTATCTAAAATGATCTTTGACTGTCACATGCTATGTAAAGTGAATTATCTGCAAAGATCTTTAGCAATTACTTAACAGAAAGTTGTCTTTCTTCAGTGCTTAAGAGCATCAAGGTACAAAAAATAGATTTATCCTAAACCTGTTTTCCTAATAAATCTTTTTTAACACATAAAAATTACTAATGGGCAGTGTTACCACTATCTCTTTTCAACATCTTCTTTATCATGCAAACCACAAACAACTTTGAAACTGCACTAACAGTTTCTAGAACTGCTTATAGGAGTTATATTTTGCCCACACAGTCATGCAATTTCTCAGATATGAAAATGATAAAGTACAAGCATGTTTTTGCTACATGCTAGTTTTTACCTTCATATGGAGTCATTTCAGGTCCTCGTACAACATAGTGCCTAAAGCAAAGAAGGAAATAAATTTAAATGTTATCAAAGCCAGCACCCAGTCATTGACTTCCTTGAAAACAACAAAAAAAATGGTATCACTTCAGCAAAGTATTTTCATATTCCACCTCCAAAACCAAGATTCCCATACAATCCGTAGGTGGGAGGGAGTTGGACTGAATGAGCTGGAAAATCTTGTTGTCTCCACACGTGTGTGAACAATTCCTTCTAACTCCTCTAATTCTTACCATTCAAGGATATTGGATGGGAGGGGTTCTGCACAGATATAAGGCACTGGATCTTTCTTAATTCGCAGGTAGTCTTGTTTAAGCCTCTGCGTTGCTGTCGTGGGTGCTCTTTTATTACTGTTGTTGCTCATCTAGTTTTTTAAAAAAATACATAAGTAAATGCAACTTCTATACAATCTTAACAGATGCAGTTATGCTTCAGGGAACTCAGCTCTAGATCCTGCAGATTCTACTGCACATACTCTATGCTAAATCCTCTACATTTTTAAAATATAAACACAAACGTTATCATTTTCCAGTTGTAAGAACCATGCACTGTTTTAACCAACTTTTAAGTTAAATCTGCTGCTTGCTCAGGAGCCAATTAAACTTATGGAAAGATATCTTCAAAGCACTTTTTTTTTTTCCAGATAAAGCAAAAGCTTCTTCTAAATGGCAGTGAATACAGGAGGTTCCAGGATGCTCACAGGACAAAGCATTAGTCTTTACAATGTGGCTTCAAAACACATACCAATTAATTACCTTCATCTAACCCACTTTGAGAAGTCTAGCAAGGAACTGAGGCTTCCATTCAGCAATTCCAAAAAAAAAAAAAAAAAGAACCCAAAGAAAATATTTACCAACAGCTCGCATAAACAGACAAGGCTATGCTCAAGCAGCATCTAACACTAAAACTACATTAAATGCTTTGGAATGGGCTATTTTTTAGTTTTCAGCTCAACCAGATAAGCCAAGAAGGATTTTTGAAAAGCTGTACTGATACCACCACAGTTAATTATACATGACCAAATATTCAAGTCGAAACCCTTTAACCTGATCTCTGCCAAAACTATTGTTGATTGCCTTTTGAAATACGCTGTATTTTTGCTGAAGAAAGTCGCACTTCCTAATTTTCACGTTTCAAGAGACTTGGAAGGGACTCCTTCCAGCCTCGACCTTAAATAAAGACTAAAATATTCAACTTGTTTGTCCGGTAGCCTCACACGGGAGCCCCTCGGTACAGACTACAAAATATACTTATGTTCTTATATACAGTTACCGGCGGGTCTGGCAACCCTCAGAGCCTTATCGGAAATACACGAGCGGCCCAGGCCCCGCTCACCTCTCCCCGCTGTCCCGAGCC